GACCTTTTACTGACTCGGAATAGTAGCCAAAACAGAAATTGAGTTATTTACTCTAATTACTCAGAGTAGTAGGAAAATAGATGAGGATACTTTCGATGCGATCTCGATCTTCTCGTGCTAACAGATTTGAGCTTGATCGGTAACCGAATGTATTAATATCAAACGATTGGCGTTCCATAATATTGAGTTGAATGTCTAATTAGATTAAGTGGTTTTAATACAAATTGTATTTAACGAAAAGCGAAGTTAATCGGACTTGTGTGTATTTCAATTCAAACTGTAATTAGTCCAAAGACTTCATTACGGTTAAGCTACTTAGGATCTCTATGAAATATTAAACCGAAAACATCGGATGAATACATACGTATTTATTTATCTACTGTTGGGTGAGGAACCTTTATTTATGCAGACCATAATTAAATAGGACCCTTGTTGAACAACAAATTTACACTTGTTCCTTCCTGTTTAATTTTTCTGGTGTTTTATTTTTTAAATGTCTCTAATGAACACATGAAGTAAATGCTCTTTGCATTTTCAAGTTTTAGCTGATGGCCCAATGGCATTGTGTGCTCTTAAAATAAATTATCTTGGTATGTTTGTAACTTGGCGACTACTGGAACCCCAGGGTACGAAATCCCAATAGAAGTTTTTGAGTTGAAGATATTTCGCATTTGAAGCATCCTTAGCTCTTTAGTTTAAGACGCGCTGTATTCACTTAGATTAATACGAGTCGAAGACTTAAACGATGGAAAAACACGTACATCACTTTACGTATTATTTTTAAAATAAAAAAATCATAAATTTACATAGTATTAGCATTGCTGTGTGTCCTTATCAAGTTGCCAATTTCAAACAGATCCTTAATTTTACAGCAACAAATTGTTTAAAATATGGGCTTTTAAATTCGATATGAAATAATATAATTATCACGCAATATTTCCATTTTATTGTTTTGATATTTCATATTCGTAAGCTAATAACAAAATTAAATGTGTTCAAAAGAGTTATATAGCTTTTACTATTTAGTTGTAGCCTTTTAATTACCAGTTCCAAAAAATCAAGGTTAATGATCTTATTGCAACTCTCCACACTTTTTATTTTATTCCGTGGTGAATGACGTGCACTCAGTGCATGTTTATTATTGCTCATGGAAGTCAGTGATGCTGTGAGCACTACCAAGTGACCTACACAAAACACTGCACTTAGATAAAAGTATAATATGTAATCTCGGTGTACCACGCCTGCTACTAAAGTATACAGTTTCAAGTTAAACTGACTTCGCGTAACATGGGGGTAAGTTTGATTAGGGTCCAAAATTAATTCTCTCTCGGGACGAGCTGATCTAATTTCGGGAACAGTTATCAAGTGACTTGGAAAATGTTGGGGCGTTCCTTGTCATTCGTCCTAGTGATTGAATGGAGACATAAATGATTTGTTCGGGATCGTGGTTTTAATACCACCATAATGGTGTGATGTAATAAATGATGAATATCCGATATAGAGGAAATATGTGCGACAATACATTTACATCGACATAAACAATAGTTGAAAATAAATTTCTCAATATTACTAAGAACACACAAGTCACACGAGTTTTGAACTCAAACCAATCTCGACGGATTTACGAGTATAGGTAATGGCATGGCGACGATACAGAAACATCTAATGGTGTAAAAGTATTTTCTTAGGTCTATTTGATCTTATCCAGGTACGGAGCATACATAAATCTAACCAACGTTTCCTGTTCAGTATTTGCAGCATCAAATAAAAAACTATGAAATAAAAAGGACCTTAAACTTAGACGTAACTATAGTAAGTACTTTATGGTAGGCAGCGGCTTGGCTATGCCCCTGGCATTCCTGACGTCCATGAGCGACGGTGACCACTTACCATCAGGTGAACCGTATGTTCGTCTGCCTACAAAGGCAATAAAAAAAGTATAGAATGATAAACTTTTAATTTAACCACAAATTTATTCAAAATTTCAGACGATAAAGGCAAATTTCAGATGTATACAGTTAGCATTGTAACGAGATGATTTTTAGTGAAACTGATCCTAATTAAAATTTTATCTTAGATCGTAAATTAAGAGGTACTATATTATCTACAACCTTCCAATCTTAAAGGTTTTGGTTAAAACACAGACCGTTGTTTGTTTGTTCAAATACATTTGATAAGCTTTTTCAGTAAAATAAGTTTTCAACACAGATTTGGATTATGTAATAATGGTACAATTATTATTTTAAGTTCCTCTTTACCAATCCACTGATTATAAATATCATTATCTTTGCGTTATTTCTTAATTGCGTTAATGGATAAACGAGCTCCTGGTGTAAAATAATTACGAAAGCCAATAGACCTCACAACGTGTATGCTACTACAATTTTAAATTAAGGCTGTTTTTGCTTAGTAATTTTATATTTTTTGTGTCCAAACCTTGCCTTCCATCCTGGAGAATGTACCAGTCAGCCAGTAATCTTTTTGTTAATATACTTTTACACCAATGGATTTAATGTATGATATTCTTTTTTCGAATCATTTTACTATGATGATGAAGTTCAGGTGTAAGCAAACCCGTACTCTTGAATAATCCTCGTAAAATACTAATCATCATCATCATCATCATCATCAGCCTTTATCTGCCCACTGCTGGACATAGGCCTTCCCCAATGTAAAATACTAATGTTTAACCGTAATATTTCAAGGTCAACTGTTGTCCTGGTATTGTCTAATTGAATATTTGAAGATTTGAAAATTTGGCGGCCACAGCGATACATACTGCGATAACTTGGGTTGTTCTAATTTAATTAGAATGGCGTAGTAACGAGGGTCGCTTCTTGAATCAACAGTGGAATGTGCGAACGTACTTATCTGATGCTGGGATCATTAATATTCAAATCGCATAATAAGTACAGAGTCCCAGGGCTAATTATGCGAAAATTATAGGAAAACTAGTTGGTAGTCGGTTTCGTACTGAAATATGCCTATCGAAAGCTGCGATGGATGAGTAATGTACCACAAATTCTGCAAATTACACAATATCAAATTTCGGACATATCACATTACTGTTCCTTATAAGATTAGGTGACTAAAAGAAAATTCTATATGTATACATTTTTTTATATCATGTTAAATAGAATCTAATTAAAATGAATCGATTTTTTCAATTCTATTACTTACTACACAACCTTAAACGCTACTGAAATTTGTACAGATGTTACCTACATATTAATGTTATTACGTTTTGTATCTGATTTTTTATTGTTGACTTTTGATCCTCCTACGTTTAAAGGAGGAACTCGTAAGTCCCAAATTCTGCTACGTCAAATAAATCATGAAAGAAATGAATTCGAATTACTCCGATATGTTTCGTTATCTCGGAGTTTATAGACATCATACGATCCAAACAAATTTAATATTCTGTGTTCATTCTCAAACAATATTTTCACAAATACCTTGGAACGTTTTGTTTTGATATCTGACACCATAAAATATCTCGTTGAGAATTTCATTTTGCCCAAAGCTATAAACAAGGATTGTTCTTTATGGGTCCGCGTTATGTCGATAATTTACTAAGAACCGTAAGATTATTTGTAAATAGCAAGGAAAATACATTACAGCCACTACCTCCCTTCTAATGTTTATACTTGGATAGAACAATTAATGACAATACAGTCAGATCGAATCATTGATTGATATTAATTAATTGAAACAATACAAATCAGAGTATTAGCAGTTAATCTTGAAATAGAAGATAAAATAAGAGATACTTCAAAAACTACGATACTTTTAACAAACGTAAGATTATACGGCTTTATTATTCGGCTTCGGTACTTTCACAAGATATGATTTCAAGAGTACCGATTGATTATTAAATGGAACGGCATTTTTCTCACACTTATTCATCACACATGGAGCTGATGCTCCATTGGTACTATCAGTAATCGAGTTGTATATAATAGATATACCCCAATTATATTATCTGACGTATCTTTTGGGCGGAATATTCTGCTGTAACTTACAAAATCATCCTTTCAACTGTTAAACTAACTTATTTTAATCTGATTACATTCAGAGATCATATAAATTGGTCTAACAACGCTGACACATTCATCATTTCGTTAACTACTCATCACATATTTTTAAATAGTTACTGATTTATGATACGAATATGATTTCACGTTTTATTAAGTCGTATAATATCGCGCGAATTACGATTTCAGAGTTTCAAGAGGAAGGAAGCAGAAATTTTAATGGTACTTTTAAGATCAGCCAGTTTTGAAAAATAATATCGGGTCTCCGAAGTCTCGTATGATAAATTAATTTCCTCCCAAAAATATAATTAAATTAATTGTAAGTTCGGTGTATAGTGATATTCATTTCATAAGTTAGGATCAGGATTGAGACTCTCTTAAAGATATTTCTTCTGACAATTTTGCTATCAGATTTCTACAGGTTTAATCTTTTTTTTTTTATTGCTTAAACGCGTGGACGAGCTCACAGCCCACCTGGTGTTAAGTGGTTACTGAAGCCCATAGACATCTACAACGTAAATACGCCACACACCTTGAGATATAAGTTCTAAGGTCTCAGTATAGTCACAACGGCTGCCCCACCCTTCTTCTTACTCTTCATGATGTGCATCGGCGATTGGGGCATAGTGACTCGGCATGAGTTTTACGACCAACTTTACACCTGGTTTACGTCAACCCTCCTTGGTTTATGTCTCCATAAATCCATTTAACGAACGCACTGTAACGACGCACTCTTTCTGTTTCTTCTTCTGGTACTTTATTTACTTCATTAGTTTTTTACTATATGATTTAGATTTTAACTACTGCACTAAAATTTAGATTTCATAATACCTAAACTACAAGTATAGATTTATATATTATAAGTGAGCTCAAATAATTAGTATCTATGTACATAATTGTATATCCAAAAAATCTCCAAAAAAAAATTTGAAGGACTCTGTAGTAAGAACATCAGTTTGTTTTATACTTAGTTTTATTGACGCAATCGCAATAGAATCAGGTACAAAATAAGTATTAATATAAAAATTTCAATCGAATTTGTCTTTGTCGTCACTCTCCTGTATTACCACCACACGTTTGTTTGCACGTCTTCTTGCGTGAGGGCCTAATCTCACTCTGGTAGGCTCTCCTGATTCATCCTGCGAAACCTAGAATGTAATATATAAAATTAACGATTTTACTAAAGGCATTAAAGCAATAAGAGAGTTTTGATTCGCCCGGCACATGTTAATTTCAATTGGTTACTAACACCCGCCTTTAGACATGGAGTGTCCACCCCATAGTATAGTTTTAAATCGCCTATTTTGTAAACTGGAATACCTCAGTGCTAAATGCGGCAAAATAATCTATCAAACGCTAAATCTACTGAAACTTGCTCATCATATCGTCGTCGTAGCCTAAAGGATAAGACGTTCGGTGCATTCGTATCGAGTGATGCACCGGTGTTCGAATCCCGCAGGCGGGTACCAATTTTTCTAATGAAATACGTACTTAACAAATGTTCACGACTGACTTCCACGGTGAAGGAATAATCGTGCAGTAAAAATGAAACTCGCAAAATTATAATTTGCGTAATTACTGGTGGTAGGACCTCTTGTGAGTCCGCACGAGTAGGTACCATCACCCCACCCACCTATTTCTGCCGTGAAGCAGTAATGCGTTTCGGTTTGAAGGGTGGGGCAGCCGTTGTGACTATACTGAGACCTTAGAACTATATCTCAAGGTGTGTGGCGCATTTACGTTGTAGATGTCTATGGGCTCCAGTAACCACTTAACACCAGGCGGGCTGTGAACTCGTCCACACATCTAAGCTATAAAAAAAAAAAAATCCTTCAGATATAACGATCCAACAGCTCACTGTAAGATCGAAGTATCAGTTTTCAAATAAATTAAATTGGGACCGGAAACGGAAATAGGAAAAACCGGAACACATGTTATGCAAGCTTTCCCGATATAAATAGATAAGACTCATCTGAACTAACAATATAGCTAACCTCATCGGTAATTTTGTAAATTTCATAATTCGATGTTATTATTGAGATTATAGTCGTACGTACATACGTACATATTATATACATACATAAATATGTACATGGAGTTTACATACTTCGAAAAATCATTACTACCTACTGTAGGATTTGAACCAAGGAATGCACTTCAAATAACGACGTTCATATCATCCAGGATAATTCACAACGTTGTATACAAACCAATACAATGAGCGTTACTTGTAATTTATGATCAGTAAATAAAGTTTCCAAAAAGTTCTACTTCGATCACTGTTTTCGATCGTCTCCGCAATATGTGTTGCAAAAACTATTCGGTAAGCTCAAGTTTCCTTGCGCATATAAATAACTTTGTAAAACAAATTGAAAAATTTTATTCGAAAAACGGAGCATACTCGAGAAATAAAAATGGTAGAATGTAGCAGTCCTTTAAGAAAAATCACCTGCACTACTATTTATTTATACCTACTGAAAGTAAACACCTAGATAGCTACGTATAGCCATCAACATGTACTATTTAATACGTCGACCCTTATCATTCTGATTACCTCCAACAAACCCAAAACTGACATTTAAGCATCTAAACAAGCCTTGGTTGTTATTTTTAATCATAATAGTACAGATAAGCAGAAAACTTTCTTTATAGTCTATAAAAATATGATTCATTGTTAATCGGGAGACACATCTTTACAAAAAATTATCTAAGCAAAAGAAAGTTGGAGTTTTCTCAACTTTTTTGCCCTCGGAAACAATAGATTCATTACCCAATTAAAATTTCCGTTATTCGTAAAAGTATTTATAACAAACTTCAAAAATGTTTCACAATAAATCTGTTCTCACCTGTACTCTTTTCCTTACTGGAACATTGTTCTCCAAAAGCTTGTTCACTGCACTGAGAGTATTAATCGGTATCTAAACGATAAATTTAATGTAAAATAAAGAATTATGACAGATTATATTATGTAATAATAAATAAAGAATAATTTAAAGAATAAACAAAATTTTAATTAGATTATTAACAAAAAATTAAGTAGATGTTACTGGTGATAGCCTATTACTACTACTAATACCATAATACCACAAGAGTCAGTATCCATCCGTATCAGGTATTCCGGTTTGAAGTGCTGCGTTATGGTGTTGACCTGAGATCCTGAGACCTCAGGTCTCAGGATATGGGTTACGCTTTCGTGTTTGTGGACATCAGTAAATACTTAACATAATATGTAAGTCAGGGAGTGACGTCGTTCATCATTGTATGCAATAAAAAAATTGGAACACAAAAGTAGTTGTGCAACCCCAACGGAATAATAAAAACAATTTTATTATAATCTGACTTGTTAAATTAAAAAAAAGTTTACCTGGAGTTTACGCTTGTGTCATTCCACGAAGTCATTCTTCAGATTTTATGAATAGCAATACCAAATATGCATTTTAAACAGTTCGACATCTTAAATAAAAGTCCCTTAATAATTATCACTAAATCATTAGGTTTCGAACTTAAATAAAAAGTACTCACTTCCTTGCATCTGTGGTTTAAAATTGACAGTCATAGATAGTACCGATAAATATTTTTCAAAACGCTATTTTTTTCATGAGAATCCTTTTTGACTTTTATTAGCCTTTTTTTAGTGAACCTTTGTTTAAAATTCCATCTCCCCGTATTAAAGTTAAAACTTGAATCCTCTCCTAGTACTCAGCTTTAAAAAAGTTATAATAATATAATAGCCACCACTTCAATAAATGATACGAGTATGTTTTGCGTGTGGTTATAAAATAAAAGCATTATTATTGTATTCACACCTCACCTTAGTATATCTATACTAATATTATAAAGAGGAAAGATTTGTTTGTTTGTTTGTTTCGAATAGGCTCCGAAACTACTGGACCGATTTGAAAAATTATTTTTCCATTAGAAGCCGACATTGTCCCTGATGAACATAGGCGAAGCGAGGGCGGGTCGCTAGTTTTATTATAAGCTTGCAAAATTTCTCAAATTGGAAAATAAATTAGATACTCCTTTTATTACTATATTAAGTACATTAAAACCAAAAACACTTTAGTCTATTAACGTTTTCAACACAATGTGAATATTAGGTGATAATGTGATTAATTTGAAAATTACAGAAATACCTTTGTTAGTAAAAAACCGATTAAAACGTACATTTCATTAGAAACTTACTGCAAAAATGTCACCTATAACTTGAGATGCACTCGGAGTCTGTACCGATATGTGTGATTCAGATAAAGCTGATGATGATGATGATGATGAATGTTTCGGTGATATGATGTCAGATTCTGAAGATTTAAAAGTTATAAATGATAAAGTATCCCGAATACGACATCACGAAAGACAATATATGAAGCCTTTTAAACGAATGTATATTTTTGAACATTTCATGATCGGAAAAATGGAAAAGACGTTCGATACTTCAATCCTAAAATGAATAAAAATGACAAGAGATTCCAATGAGTCATAGTCATGCAGTGAGTGAATTTCAAGTCTAATGTTATGTATTTATATAAACTATTTTATTTAGTCTCGAGCTTTTATTTATTTAACTAGCTTACCATAATTACAATGCATTACAAAATACTAATAATATGCAAAAATAACATGAAAACGTACTACAAATGTTGTGGTCAACCGTTAGCAGTAATATTATACTTTAATATAATACCGAAAACTTACTAAAATTGTCCAATTAAAGTAATGCTTAATGAATTATGAAAATTAAAATATTAGTATAAGATATTTCTTGAGTTATACCCTAAATTATTATATAGATTTTTTTTGTAACGTAACGTAAAGTTATATGCTATTTGTACAACCTGTAACTGATCATCGTCTTCAGAGTCCAAAAAGATTAAAGCATTTGCCTAAAGACTCTTCTCATAAAATAAAAAGAATAAAAGCAGAGCATAAAAATGTAATCAAGATTACGAGGGCTAGAAGGTCAATATTATACCTGACTCTTACTTGGAAGTTTATGCTGCCGTTTATTGTCCTTAGAAAATGAATAATTTTAAGCCTACAGATGTTCATTATTATCATGTTTTTTATAACAATTGTTTTATTAATACTATGTGATGCAATTAAATATAGTAAGAAAAATATTCCAAACTCCTGTTTATTATTTTGAAAACTAGATACAAAATTTATTATATTAGTATTTCATTTATAATATCCACCTGCTTGGATTGTCGCTGATTTCTGAACGGAAACGTTTGTATTGGCTGCTGTGTTACTAAGGAAGCTGCTAACAGCTTTCAGTGCCGAAATTGGAATCTGTGGAAAATATGAAATAAAAATAATGACCATTATAAATAATACTGAGAATATTGAGTCATGAATTTTACTGTGCACCCTTCTTTGAACAACATAGATAGGCAAACCCAGTACGGTTAATTACGATTTAGTTCTTTCTCATTTATTAACTAATGCTTTTTGTTCATGTTTGCTTGTTAGCTGTTTACAAGCTTTGTCATAAATACCAAAAAAAAATTGGATAATAATATAACCATTTCACTTTTATATTTCAGTAACAAAACAATAGATTCCAATAATCGACGAAACTATACAAAAAATTTAAATTTTGGTGTATCAGTGATTATTGTCGAAAATTGATCATACGGTGAAAGCTAATGTAAATAAATTTATGAAATTTATTTGGTAATTAATTAAGATTCCGAAAACTTACGTTAAAAATATCTTGGAACAAAGTTGGATTTCTTGACACTGTAACTTCTTTAGTGTAGGTTACTTGACCGCCTCCATTGCCACTACTTTCAGCCACTGCACCTACGTTAGCTGAACTCTGTGCTCCAACATCTAACCTCTTTTCGATTACTGGTTGAGTATTGTAAACTACGACTGGAGGTTGCGGAGCTACTTCAGCAGCACCGCCAATAAAACCACCAATGTAGGCTGTTTTGTGAAGATTATGATGTGGTTTTGTATGCGTGTGAATAATGTGCTTTTCTATAATTTGTGGTTGTGGCTCTATATCAACCTGTAATAAGTTTTATAGTGATTTAAATTAAAACATCATCACAACCATGTTATGAAGACAACTGCACAGATAGTGAAACTGCAATTTTATAAAAATATTGATAATAAATTAACATGGTTAATATTGTTTATTTTAGTTGTCATCCTGATGTTATGATATTTTAAAATAATAAAATTCATTGATCTAAATCCCAATTGATTCAGTACTTCTGATTCACCAATTGAAGAAAGTACTTTATTTAAAAATATACTGGCATTAATTTTCACCTCAAATATAGCATGTTGTTTAACTCACTTCTTTAACAATAACTGTTGGACGAGATTCAGTTTCAATGTTGAAATGTGCATCGGCTTTAGCTTCTGCTCCAATGGAACTCAAGGGTTTAACTTCGTTCAGTGCATCATTAAAATCGGTATGCACTTCATTAAGTTTTACACCTTGATCCGATATACCGATCGATTTCGTACCGGAGAATGTTACACCAGAAGCTCCAGCAATCGAAGACTCACCAGCCTTTAATATAACATTACTAATTATATTATAAATATTATAACAGAAACACATTGAATGCAGAATAATAATGATGATGACAAAAATTAGGAATATAAACTAAATATGAAATACTGTAAATGAAATGCGTGCTTATATATTAGAAATATGCGAATGGATTAATAAAATAAGATCAGTTAAGAAGAAAAATTATGTGTTGTGCATTTTGATACTTAAAAATGATAGCTGGTTTTACCTGTTTGTTCTCAGAGACCACACGTTAGTTTGACCTAAAACACGGTCGTTGTTCATACAGTGCTTTTCTAAATAGTTAATTAATTAATAAAATAAGTTTGTAAGTAAAAAAGTATAATTTTGTTAAAGTTATTTATTTCTTTTATTATAGTTAATCGTAAAACTTAGTCAAAAAATACCACCACATCAATTAATAATAATAGGTAAATATAATAACGTCCTTCACCAATTAAAGGTGCTTTTGATTCTTTAACAGTTTTTTCAATTCTTTGCGCTTGCGTCGTTCCTCTTTGCTTCTTACCAAGCCAGAAACAGCATTATGACCTCCTGCTTGAGCAGTTGCAAACCCATTGCCTGCTACGTCTTCTGAAGCTACTCTTCCTGCAAGACCGGCTTCTGCTTTGACGTTGCCACCTGCCGTAGCTCCAGCATAAAGTCCACCTATGAATTTAGTAAAATTAGGTTTTTTTGTTTTTTTTCAAAGTAATCTCGTTTGTTTTGAGATGTTGCAAATCAATTGGTAATCTGTCGTGCCATCTCATTGTGCTATCGTTCTTAATTTTGTACAATTTATTTTTAGTTTGCATTGCATTTCAGAAAATTAAGAAACAGTGAGTTCATTCAAAAATAAGTATACTATAATATTTGATATCATATGATAACTGATATATAATAGCTTTTATAACTATGATATTTAGATAAGTTACAAATCAGCATGGTTATTTTATAATTTAATTTTGAAACCACTGGAAGCACTTGGTAGTCCACATTATAGTGATAAAAGATCATTATAGTCATATAAAATACTTATATTTCTAAATTTATTTTGCTATTCAACAAAAAAATAAGATTACAAGAAAAATTTTTTTTGTAAAAACACACAACCGATTGCTTTGAAAGCTAGAAACCAACATCTGATTAAACAGATTTATTGCTTTTTCGTTCAACATTGCTGTTTTGTCGTAATTTCGTTCTATTTTGTGTGGACAGTAAAACGTGAAATTCACTGTTCTATTTAAATTTTTAATTAAATATAAATTAAGGTGATAAATTTGTCGAAATTATTTAAGGCTATTTGTCGGATAAGTCAAAGTCATTTTGTAATTAGAGTATAATTACGATCTTAACCTCCGGCTCGGCCATTGCCATCGACTGCTCCACCTAATCCTGCCCTTGCTGATTGACCATGAGGAGTTCCTGCTTCAGCAAATAACCCTCCAGTACTTGCACCACCACCTAAACAAAAAAATATATATTTATAACACAATTTTTTTTTAATTGCGCCATTTGTTTAGGAAATCTCGATTTGATTGCCAGTCGGAATTAATATATCTTTTTTAATATTTTTTACATTTTTTACATTCGGAATCTTGATCTCATAAATATATACTAACTTCTCTTTTTTTAGTACCTAATACACAGCAAATATTCCTTGCGGCCGATGAATATGTAATATTTAAATTGAATTTATATAATGCGGTCTATTGTGTTCGCATTTTTTTACATAAGAAACGATGCCACCACTGCTCTAGGCAGCAGTACAGACATAGCGTTGTCTAAAAGCAGCTAATATTTTACACTAAAAATAATATTTAATGTATATATAAACTGGCCTATAAAGTCCGGCACGAGCGTAAATTAAGCGAGTGGTTATCTCTTTTGTTTAGCTTAAGTTTTCTGGCCGTCCAATTTAATAAAATGTTATAAATTAACGGTTATTCCTCCAATACAATGACAATAAATGCTGGTATTCCACAAAGTTTGGGGCTTTTCACACTCTTTTTATCCTGCATATACGGATAACTCTAGAAAGGTTAAGGTTTAATAATTCAGGAGAAGAATTCAAAACTTGCGTTTGAAGTAGAAAGTAGCTAAGCTGTTCCTCTGGTAATGTTCAAATTAAGTATTTACAAATATTGATGCAATAAAAGTATTTAAGTATCTATTCACCACTCACAGGTTATAAATTATTCATTTTGTTTACTGCGCTGTTGATAATTATTTTGCAAGAAATACGTGTGGTTGTCTCCCATGCAATAGCTTGCGAAGGACGTATGCAAGAATGGAATATTTCTTGTCAGTTTTTTTTTATTATTTGGCAATTGTTATTGTATCCTGTATTACGAAGAGGTTTAGTATAAATTCACGACAATGTTCGTCATATTATTATGTAAATGTTTTGAGGGGCAATAAATAAATTAATAAGTATTTGTTGTTTTCTTGCAAATAAAGTTTTTACAAAAATCTCATTGCATTATCTTATACTTACCTTATTGCAATTTAATATACGTATTACTATTTAATATACTTAAAATACTTATCGCATCTTCATAATTTCTTGTTTTACGAGAATTTTAATTAAGTTTTATCATCACTTCAAAATATTATTCACCCTTCACCCCAACGCTTATTTAAATAAATTTAATGAATGAAAATTCTCACCTAATAAACCTCCGAGCCCGACTCCAGCGTGGTAACCGCCGAAGTTCACGCCTATCTTACCATCCTTGAAGGTTATAAACTGAGGCGCCTGAAAATAAATATCGGGTTTTAATGAACAACAAAACGTTTACGGAGATATTTTATTGTGCAATATACGGTTTAATATACGTTGCGGATTAGTGAAAGGGCACTGCACGCTCAGTAATTAGTATTTATTTGGACTCTTTCAACTTGTTTGGCTTGTAAATTTATAATTAATAGCCTTTTTTTGTTGTTTGGGCTCGTGCGCCGAACCTCCTACAAGGTCCCCGCGCTTAAGGGGCGCGCAGGGTTTGTGGGAACGGTTCGCAGATATTGGGAGCGGACCGGGTACCAAGGAATGGAACTTAGTGCCCTACCCACTAAACGAATCCCCTGAACTCTCGCTCAAGCGTCCGATCTCCCTCGAGGTCAGAACCCGGGTGGGGTAAGGGAATTACCGCGGTCAACATTGCAACCAGACAGCGCACCTCACCCCGCACTTTTTTAGGAATTCGACACCGCGGCTATATGTATAATATTATAACAATCTTATATAGAAATTGAGAAAAGACTCATAATTAAACAAATTATGCAATATGTGTACGTAAAAACGTACTTTTTTTCTGAGAATATTTCAACTAAAGTAGTTTGAGATTATTTTATAAAATTATTTAAAGATTATTTTATAAAAAAATTAATTATGTCCTCAATTAATTTTTTTCGAACACGGAATATCTCAAGTCCACTTGCTGATAAAAAAATTTATTAACTGCAATGTGACCGGCAGTAGTTGCAACTGTATTACCTAATATATATTGTTTTTTTCAAACGCTACATTCCTGTGTTATGAAACAACAAAATTGAGAATGAAAAAACAACATTAAATTAACTTAGGGAAATACTTGAGATCGTAAATTCAAAGAAGAACCAGAAATGTTGTAAGCCAAACAAATGTGCTAAGTTTTCGTGTATATCAATTTCTCCGCCTCACATTAATCAGAAATAGACAACATAATATTATTATGATATATACTTCAATTTTAAATCTATCGGAACTATACAATTGAATGTGAATGAACATTACTGACGGTGTACAAACACAACAGGATATCCCATTGCACAGTGTACCTAATGTTTCGAAGCCAATTACAAACAACACCATTTTTTTTGTAACAAACCTTGAAGCTAATTATTATACGTCAAATATTTTCCACTTCGTCAATTCTTTTGTAGTCATATATAAATTAAAATCAACTTTAATGCTGCTTGAAATTCAAGATGTAATTAATCATTTTTTCACTCCAAGATATGCATTTACGGTCAGCCTTTTTTTTATAGTGAGTTCATTGATTGACTATAAAAAAGAGGTCAACGAACTCATGACCAGAACCCCTATGGATGACTACGTTAAACATGATTTGTATTGTTCAAAACTTGTTTTATCATTCAAATCAGAAAGCATGATTATTTCGCGGTAGAAATAGGGAAGATGATGGTTTTTACCGTGCCATCTTGCAATGCGCTTGCCAACAGTAATTACGCAAGTTTATAGAATTTAATAGACTATTGACATTTCTCTGTTAGTCATTGGCCTTTTTTAGATTTACTGAGATATCACTGACACTATAGTGAAAGCTTTATTTTTTTCAGTGATCGGAAACAATTGTTTTTTAAATAAACAAATCTATATTCGATACAAAATAAACAAACATTTTTTATATATTTTGCGTATTCATTTTGTAAATAATAATAAACCAGTATCACTTTAAAATACATATTGGCGTTCAAAATTCTTAATTACAATGAAGTACTGTTTTAACGAGGCTATAGTGCTGACCATGTGGGAAGTAATTGACTATTCATAATTAATTACACTTTTTTTTTTATTGACGAATACAATCTATTTTGATGTTGATATTTCTTGCCCATTAGCCTTCATACAACTATACCATACACTTTCATAATTATTCTTTTTTGCTTAGATGAGTGGACGAGCTCACAGCCCACCTGGTGTTAAATGGTTACTGGAGCCCATAGACAACGTAAATGCGCCACCCACCTTGAGACATAAGTTCTAAGGTCTCAGTAAAGTACAACGGCTGCCCCACCCTTCAAACCGAAACGCATTACTGCTTCACGGCAGAAATAGGCATGGTGGTGGTACCTACCCGTGCGGACCCACAAAAGGTAATTACGCAAATTATAATTTTTGCGGGTTTGATTTTTATTACACGATGTTATTCCTTCAACGTGGAAGTCAATCGTGAACATTTTTGTAAAGTAAGTTTTTTTTATTGCCTAGATATGTGGACGAGCTCACAGCCCACCTGGTGTTAAGTGGTTACTGGAACCCATAGACATCTACAACGTAAATGCGCCACACACCTCGAGATATAAGTTCTAAGGTCTCAGTATAGTTACAACGGCTGCCCCACCCTTCAAACCGAAACGCATCACTGCTTCACGGCAGAAATAGGCGGGGCGGTGGTACCTACCCGTGCGGACTCATAAGAGGTCCTACCACCAGTAATTACGCAAATTATAATTTTTGCGGGTTTGATTTTTATTACACGATGTTATTCCTTCACCGTAGAAGTCAATCGTGAACAGTTGTTAAATACGTATTTCATTAGAAAAATTGGTACCCGCCTGGGAGATTCGAACACCGATGCATCGCTAGAGACGAATGCACCGGTCGTCTTATCCTTTAGGCCACAACGAATTCAAAAATTAATTTTATTTATATGCCGATATCTCAGCTGATTTCCACTTTGGGCGAATATTCGTCTGAGGAACAGCTTTATTTGCTCTTTGTCTTTGTATGTAATATCTCTGTTAAATACATGAATTTAAAGAAAAATGTTTATGTATTTTCCCAAGCAGAGATATCACGAACTGAATGCCACCATTTTATGTCGTCGACATTAGTATTCAAGAAACATACAGAACAGATGTTTACGATTTTTTATTAATATTAACCCGATACAGCAACGTCTCTATAAACTACAGTAAAAATTTTAATCATTTGTTGTAAGTTAAAATGTGAATAATCCACATATTCGATCCTTGAATCACAAAGTCAGACATAATACAAAAGAACTACTCCTTCGCAGAACTAATAAACAGTAAGATATCTAATACACATTATCGTCATTCCAATGGAATGTCTTTTGTGCATACAGAATATCAACAGGCATTCCATATCCATCCATCAATTTACATTGTGATTCCATATTTAACCCAGGTGGAGAAACGGCCTCATTTACAATTGTCATAGTATGCATTATTCACTTATGTCATTTATGAAACTGTTTGAAATATCATATTCATATACCGGGGCTATCACGCGTGCTTTATATGTTAGAAGTATCAGCTTTACAATTAGGTACGTCTTACTATATTTCTTAGCTTTAATTAAGGTAACAAATGTACATATTTATTGTGTTCACGAGTGGTCATGGATAGAAGCTCGTTAGCAGTGTATTTACATAGTTAATTCGTTTACGCTAAACATATATAGTCTGTTTAACTTCTTAATGGTATTGGTGAAGGTTTTGTTTGCTCTTCTGCCATGTGTAATAAACAAAAATTAAGTTCTTTATTTGAATTGGATTTAAATGAATAATAATTTTTGTTATATGATTGTAATATACTAGTGGTAGTAGTCGAAGTTCGACTCTAATTAATTGAAATTATAAGTTTAAACATTATTATGGTTCTATTGTCAAACACTATTATAATTCGATAATATAATCACAGTATTCGCCAAAACTGCACTATAGACCGATAATATTAAAGACAAACAATATTAATTTATTCTCAATTCGACCACAGCCTTTAAACAATAACAAACGTTTCCCAATTGACAGTAAACAAATAGTATGTTTTTATGTATGTGTTGTGTCAAATACATAGTAGTGTGCGTAATGCTTTTTTTATTGATTTAATGCGTATTTATGGAATATATATATATATATAATATATGCTGCACTTCTTCTCTATATTCTCTATAAGTGTGGGAAATTTCATACTCCTCCGTCCGGGCAATTTTCGTAAAAAGGGGTACAAAGTTTTTGCTTCACGTATTAATATATAGATAAACAGTTTATATACTCAGAGTGAGATAATGAGCTCAAATATAAACATGCAACCTTGCCGCTCAGGGTTTCTGCATAAGTCAATGTATCTAAGAATATGAGAATATTAAGTAGATCGGTTCTTGGCACAGTTGACGCATTGCCACTACGTTTCGCTGCACTAAATGCGAGGCACGGATTTGGCACGTAATTTATTTCATTGATTTAATTGAATGGGACGGATTTGATGAATTATCAATTTTGAATTTAAACGAAGGCTCAGAAGACTATTTTACAGTAAGTAGCGACGTGTGTATATTATTTAATATAGTACTAGAATAGCTATATGCTCCATATATTATTATACGATATTATTTGGGCACGGGCACACTCCAACTGAAATATAAAAATATATTAATTTATTTGCATATCATTCAATTCCCACTGTTCATTGTATCAGTCGTTCATAACAATTTCTTCGTTCGTAATAATCAGTCGTTTATCTGTATGAATAGCTCAATTAAATCTGATAATTATTTTTAGTTTTGCGAAAATCTATAATACTTATATATAGGTAATACTGCTACGTTTTATATCGCTTAATAGTGTTAAGTGTATTTAGCACTGAACCCTAAAAATAAAATATAGTGGACATCTCGTAAAATTTATCATTTCTTTTATTTACAAAGGAATATTTTTTTGTTACATATATTTAATTTCATATTCATTATTCTATTCTATTCATCGTTTTCAATTGTAAAAAGCTTTTGCATGACTTGGTAAGTGTCTTTAATGAGACTTTTGTATTGAGACATTGATATAGTCGACTTTTATGATTGAAATTAATAAAAATTTTTTTTCATTCGTGAAAATATTTGAATTTTTTTCATGATGAATTCTTTGAGGACTACCTGATGAGTATCCAATACTATCCAAAATTCTCAACTCACGAAAATAATCAAGAGACAGTGAACATTAAACCGAAAAGTAAACCCCCAGATTGCGGGTTTATTTTCTTTCATTCTTACTATCTTTCATTCTACTTCTTCTATCTTGCATTTTACTTCTTACTTTTCAACTCTTTAATAAGATTTTCAAGGTGAAAAGATAGTTATTCAACTTCTGTCAAGGAATGAGTAGGAGACGCGTAATGTGCATACTCCTCAAACGTACCATTAAACATTGTACAGCTAACCCACTGATACACCCCACCATGGATCCTATAGCCATCTGGAAACGTCCTCGGGTGACTTAATGCAAAAACAAATCGGACATTGGAAATGTTCCTCTGAAGTGATGGTACATAAAAGCATTCATATGTGCGCACTGTATTTTACACGGTCTCATCTGGTTAAAGAAAAGTTCCCAGAACATTGCGCACGTTCCTTCTTTTATCAACGCGAGCTACTGTGGTGTCTACTTTCGCCCAGGTTGCTTAGGGTCGGGTTGCTCAGAGGAAGACTCAGGTGGGAACTTAGGTTAGTTTAAGCTAGACGTAAAAAAAAAGAAAATCTCTGAACTTTTTGACATATGACTCTTCAAACGAGGTATGAGGTAAGTAAAGGAACACAATACTTGGTAGTAAATTAACATCAAAATACTAAGCAAACAATAAATAAATACAAGATATAGTTAACACAAACATTACACATAAGAGCTCTGACAATGTCAGGGGAAAAAGGGTAGTATATAAAAAATAAAAAATAAAATTGGTAGTACCTCTACAGAGGCCAAAAAACATGACTGCTACTACACTGCATGCAACTACACTGTCGCTTCTAATATAATATATTTATTTACAAATATAGTCCGTAAGTCAGAATAAAGTTAATAATTGAGTAGTCACGAACAAATTCGCGGACAAAAGTTCTAAAATCGAAGTTACTTTTGAATGACACAAACAGCGACTGCCCTCTGTCTTTTAATTTATAATTGAAATTTATTTAAACTTCTCCAAACAAAAAAGAGATTTGGAAATTCACTGTGACAAAAAAAAATACAATTGATTTCTTGTTGGTTAAAGAAATACTACACTGCATAGATTTTGCCTATATACTAGTTGAAAAGCACGAGCAAACTATTCACATATGCTAATTAGTTATATAAATCTTAAATAAGCCCTTTTCTCACTTATAATATAAGATATTGCTTAGTATTATTATTAGCTTTAGACAGCCAAAATGCTGTCTGTAGTAAGTAATGATATCCTGTAATGTAAATGCTGATTTACGTGAGAAGTGCATCTAAAATAAAAGCAGCTGACAATTTCAGAACACAATATTCTTGCCACGTGTTGCTTTACGAGTTTTGGGATTCGAAAGTCAAGTGTCATCTCCTAAACGCTGGTTAACGCACAATTTTAAAACGAGATTCTATTATAAAAAGAAATATTCGGCACCAAAGATTGCAAACAAGATTCCTTTTTTATTATCTGTACCGGTAACAGACCAGAAATAAACTTGGAGCCCAAATAACGAAGATACGGATTCCAACCGCGAATCAAACTCGGACCACGTGATACAATCGAGGTTCCTAATCACTAGAGTTCACTAGACAAGCCAAGCGAATTATCGTCATCAATCAATTTATGATCGCGACAACGGTTGAAACCAATGATACAAAATATTCTTTCACAACATAATCGCATACGACCGGAAATTGTATTCGAGAAAATATTTTTCTGAAAATCCATTATTAATTAACAACTTTAGTTTGAAATACCGTCCAAATGCTGTAAATATAATCAAATATAAAGAAATACTGCCAATCTAATTTACATTACAAGACTGCTTCATTCTAATTTATTTTTCTGTGCTACTAACAACTATTAAGGCTTGAATTCATCGAAAAAAGGAATATTGACTAATTCTAACTTATTAAGCTTGATCACTAAATAAATCTACCTAACGACTGCGCCCAGTATTCCGTTCGCAGTTTTTCACAATTACATTATACAATAACATCCTCACTGCACTAACTACAGTTACGAACAATTACCTAACTTAATTGCTTGACCTATGTTTGGCCAGTAACAGGATCTTACATCATAATAGTCTGTCCGTTTATTATCAGAAATTACGGTCATTCGACCACCTCGAGCTAACATTCCCATTTTCCATAGTAGCGATACTAACTCTACTAATGTTACTATTTCGCGAACACTTAAATTGAGAATTGGTCTACCAGCTAATTGAACTGTAGGCTGAATCTAATTATGACAGAGATAGTTCTTGAGCCGAAAGGGATAAGAACATCTGTACCACCTATAATATAATATCATTTGGCACTGACAACCAATTACGTATAAACTTATCATCAAAATAATTAATCCCAGAATTGATAGAAGCTTTGAAAATCAGATTAGATTACGAACAGATTACAAGCAACGGAGTGTTCCTTCCTACAATTATTCCCTTTATGAAATATTGAATGTTCCATGGAATCTATTTGTCCATGTTTATGGAATTGAATGTCAATGTCGTCTATTTTTAACGTAATAAGTTTAAGTTGAAAAATATATCCAAGCGTTATTTGTTTTTATTACTTAGACCGGTGTGTGTGTGTGTGTCTTAAGTGGTTACTGGAGCCCAAAGATATCGACAACGTTAATGCCGCGACCGACCTTGAGAAATGAGATTTAAGTCTCAATTCTATAGTGAAACGCTTGCCCCACCCTTCAAACTAGAACGTATTACTTCTTCGAAACAGAAATAAGCGGGATGATGCTACCGACTCGTGTGGACTCACAAGACGACCTATCAATATAACAGCGCTATTTAGTCCACCATTGACTATTAGCTATATTTATCTCTATTTTTCAAGAGATTCTTTTGCACTAAATATCTTTTGTGGAACGAACCCATACAACGATTTGCAACCCTTGAAGTTTGCTTGAAACGAAAAGCAAACTAAGTCATGATACAACTTTACTTAGTAAACGTATTATTTAAATTCAGTGTTGTTAGTCTTCCATATTCGCGTAGCAATACATCAATTAAAAATTTTGGACTTTTACAGTTTAAACGCGGGAGAGTGAGTGACATGGTGACGCACATTTGTCCCGACAAAATGGGAGTTTATTTCATTTTAAATTACAACAATTTTAGTGCAAGTGAATGTAAAAGATCATCATGAAATGATAATAAATTAATCATAATCATAAATCAAGTAATTGACAGAACCATAAACTTTGTTACGAATTTATTCTGGTACAAGATTACTCCTTCCATATTACAATCGCAAAAGCTGCCGGTAATACAAATTTAAATATTTACTGTGTTCATCAACCTCTGAAATGAATTCTGGTGGCGGCACTTCAGTGGTGTTTCAACATCGTTTTGATTTAAATGACAAATTAGGGATGTAAGTGGCTAACAACATACGAGGCGATGTTTTCAGTAGCAGCAGAGCTTGTCTTTTGACATTGTCCATATTCATAACCAATTATAAATAGCTACGATAGTGCAGTTTTTCTGATTCTGATCTGTCTTAGTATCACTTATGCTATGAAACGATTGTACCCTACGGATACGTACTGGAACGTCAGACTACTTCGCGGGAGAAATTTGTAAATATCACTCACAACTGCATAGACTAAAAATACGTATCTAATCTAAATATTAATTTTAAATTAAATATTAATTAAAAAGTTTGTACCCCTTTTTACGAAAATTTCGCGGACAGAATTAAACTATTCATTAAAAATACATTAAATTAATAAAAAAAACATTACTCACACTACCATGTATTCACACACACACACACACCCATATACCTACTTTTTGGTTATTGTCATATTTTTGTTATTGCTTAAAGTCTGTGGTAAAATTGAGAATAGGTTATTATTGTTTATCTTTAATATTATTTGTCTATGTTACACACCTTGGCGAAATTTGTTATTAAAGAAGTCTGTGATGGTATTTGACAAAAGAGCCTTAATTCAAAGTTCAAACTTATAATTAAAAATTAACTATAGTCGAATGTCGACTACCGGGCGACCACTAGTAAAAATAAAAATACTTACTATCCACATAATCCAATATCCAAACAATATAATTATTATAGTAAAATTACTAGATAATTATCCCTGAACACTAATTGTTCAGCAGAATTAAACGTTTTGATCGGGATTACGTACAAAACTCCTGTTACATTTCAAATAAGTACTTTTATTAATGACAATAGTAGTATACGATACATAGTAGATATGCGAAAATACTTACCGAATACACATGCGATATAATTAATATCGTTAATACTGCTATATACTTCATTCTGTCTCTACCTGTGAAAATAAATAGAGTTTAATACGACATTTGAATTCGATCTTCAGTTTCTTAAGAGCATTCGTAATTTATAGTAAATAATTTAGTGCGTAAAAGCGTTTGCTTTTAATAAGTATTTACCTATAAATTTTCTGTTTATTATATAGAAAGTTATATATTTTTTAATTAAAGTAAAATATTTCTATCTGTTCAATTTTGGGGCTTAAATTTTGAAATATCCCGCTTGTTTTTCTTCTACGTATTGCCGCAGTGTGTAAAAGGTTTGGAGTCAGTCGTAAAATAATCAGAAGTTTGTATTTTTTTAAATCTTAATATTCAATAAAACTGAACTTTTTTTTTATTACTCGTGCAGGCAGTCGATCATACGGCCCATCTGACGGTGAGTGCTTACCGTCGCCCATGGACTTCAGCAATGCCAGCGGCAAAGCCAAGCCGCTGCCTACCGTTAAGTTAATGTACAATATCCAACAAAATAAGCACCCATGGTATCTCTGCCAGTGCTCCGGTAATTTTCAATGCCCTTATTGAAGAAATCAAGTGTACGAGTGTCAAAAAACTCTTCAAAAACATTTTGTACTGCCATTTGGGTATTGATGTTTCCCAGCCGAAAATTATCAATTAAAATCATCACGTTTTTACTAGAAGAGGTAGGGTGTAAAATGTATAAAGAAAGTGGAACGATCTTCAATCTGAATTTTGCCACGCTTATTTGGATTATTTATTTGGATTTGGATTATTTGAAGAGCAGTTCGAATCAACATGAAATGTCTATAAAAAAGCGGTGAAGATGAAAAAAAATAAAGGTATTAAATTAATTTTAATTTATGATTATACAAAGTAGCATATTAGAGTTTTATTAGAAACTAGCTGACCCGGCAGACTTCGTAGTGCCTCAATCGATAAATAAAAGACCGACGCGACGGTTTCACATCAAAGGAAAAACAAAAATGTTATTTTTATTTAATTCCAGCATTTTACATATTTATTTACCTTTTAAGCCTTCTCTGGAGTTCCACAAATTATTCAAGACCAAAATGAGAAAAATCGGTCCAGCCGTTCTCGAGTTTTAGCGAGACTAACGAACAACAATTCATTTTTATAGTATATAAAATATAGATGATAGATGATGACAAAAAGTACAATTAGATGTTTATAGATTTTACATACATACGTATATGTATAAGGAAAACATAGGAAAATACACCAGAATACTGCTTTCTTTCAAGATAGGACATAATATTAACTCGCACAAAAATCGGCTATTAATCTGCATATTTATTCCGCGAAACAGTCGTGCCTTTTAGTTTGTGGGGTGTGTTAGATATTACAATTTCGTCTTAGGTTTCATGTTTCAAGATGGGTGCCGGCGCATAATAGTGTTTTCTACGGACTGCGGTGTCCGCATAACATGAGTTAGGAGCTCACACATTTAATTTTGTCTTTAATTATTAAGGGTACGCTTTTGATGTGTGTCAAGAATTTCATAAGCTACGATACACATAGCTTTTCAATATATACTTCATTGGAAAATTCTAGAAATTTCATTAACATTCGTCGCATGCAATTCAACATAACTTAGCTAAATTTCTTTATTCGTAAAATCATGTCAAAGGTAAAATCTACCCAAAAACGTGAATACAATTTTTGAAAATAACCTGTAACCCCTGTGCCAGTTTTTTATTAAAATACCAGTTATATTGTTTCTTTTAAAACAAATGCAATATTAATATATTTAAAAGCCTAGGCGTCAAAGCGTTAACTAACAGAAAAGCATGATATGATTTTTTTAAATCAATCACAGATTGTCCTGCTTATTTCATCCGTGGAGCAGCTATGCATTGTGGAGGGGTCAACTGAGACTTCGAACTCACGTGAAGTGAGGCATTCACGCATTCGGCATTCACTAGATTCACGTTCACGTTCATATTAATGTCTGAGTGGCCTTTGGTAGTAACTTAATAAAAGGCAGGCAGTGAGCTGATGTCTACATAACTAATGCAAATATATTTCAATAAGCCAAAATTGTTTCGAAAATTCTTTTCGTGATAATAATATGCAAATTGATGTCAAAGCGATAGTATTTAAGATAAAATGGAAAATTAAGTTATTCATAACGAAATTGGAAGGAATCACTCGGCAATATTTTTAATACAAACTAGAATTGAATATTTATACCTTCTGCATAAGCTCTTTATTTCGATATCTACAGTATTAAATTTCTCAATGTATTTTCTGGCTTTCAAGACATTTATATCTTCAAGCATAACTTTTTAAGTTAGGTCAAATACGTAGTAAACTTAAAGGTAAAACATTTGAATATGCAGAACGGAGACATTGAAACTTTCTGCTTTTCCTCGCCGTACCAAATCCGAAATCGGAATGTTATCGGCAACATCAGAGGTCCTTTATTCATGAGCTTGACGAATAATTCCTTACCTGGACAGACCTATGGAAATTACTCAACGTCCGGATCCCAATAAGTTATAGATCGGATCCTACACTTGAAATGGATGTTCGCAATTCACGCGTCTTAAATATAGCATTCGAGATAAATGCGTTAGGATAAAGTTTTGTTTTTGTATGAAATATGCTAACAATTTTTTTTCTTTTTTCCAATAAATAAATTTGAAAAGTCTTGTTTTGGTCGAAATTAAACTTATTGGATGGATAATACTAGTTTCGATAAAATCTTATGACTCAACGAGCCACCGATTTTAATTATTTACCGACGCTATTACAGATTGGAAAAGTCGAGAAGCACAATCAAATCGCTTCGTACATATATTTAATATTTTTAATCCAATCATAATAATATGTAAATGTATAAAACATGTTTCATAAATATTTGTCTTTAATACGTCCCTAAACCACTCATCGAATTATTACGAAACATGTTGTTGACACCTTAGGATCGGCGTTTATTACAGCACAATCAACGGACGACATAATGTGTTGTATGTGTAATTTCAACAAACGAGTTAATCTCACAGACCTAGCCATAGTCACAGCTGAGGGTGGCTGGCATCATTATTTAAAACCAAATGATTACTTTTCAAAACGATTACTGCAACTTTATTTTTTATATTATATTAAATTCATCTCTGTGTTCTAAATCTGACTACACATTGCATCAAACCAGTCGAGTCGTCAGAGCTCTACAACACTTTCACTGTATTACGTAATTTTATATGAATTACATTCGTTCGAGATAAACATTGGCTGTGAGTGTTTGAACGTGTAAGATTATCTCCTCGACGGTCTTGTCATGGTCCCAGACTGGAATACCACTCTGATGCCCGATCTGAAAATGCTAATATTTGGAAGTTTGGATGCAATTTTTCTTGTCTTAAGTGTATAGTCCGGTACGCATATTATGAAAAACTCCTAGACTGCGGGTCATGCACTTGAGTCGTTTGACTTTTAAAAGAACCTCTGACGTTTTTCCTTCTGAGCTATTAAATAAATATCTAATATGTCAAACAAAAATCTCAAACGTCTTTTCCGCAGTTTTTTGAAAAATTCAATTTTCCATCAGAATAAGTCCATTAGTCATATTTGTCGGTGTAAAGAGCCATGTCTTCTGTACCTGAGCGTAAAGCTTTTAGAAAATTCTATTACGAGATCTATTCTTCGCATTTAGAGCCTAATTTAATATTTAGGATTTGAAAGGGACTATTAAAGGTAATTTTAGTTCAGTAAATGCCAAGTACAATTTACAAGGGACAATTTTTTTTTTACTTCTCGATTTTTACCTTAAGTTGTTTTAGTTTTATGAAAGGTGTTTTGGTGATGCTTCATTTATTTCGAGTAAGATATTTTTTTTTGTTATTTTTTCTATTTTGGAAATAAATTTTAATATCTAATTATACATTTTTTCGATACATGTAATAGAATGCGGTGTCAATTTCCATTCTCCAATTGCCAATATGCCCTTAAAGATACAAGAACGCAATCGACTTTCCTTTTCAAATTATTTAAAGATTTGGATCCGGATTTGAATACAACATCTCTGTAACTTATCAAGACTATAATATAAGTCTAAATTATTCTGAAACGAAAGGGAAAATGTAATCTATTAAGAAATTAAAATTTAACAAAGCTCAATACTGTGAACACATTGTTGTCTGGAAGTTCAGAAAACATACGTACAGTACCCGGCGATAGATATTGCACATCGACCGTGGGAAAGAGACGGTTAATTTTTGCTTTGTAGAGCGTTATATCTGTCGCACATTACCTAATTGACATTTAATCTCCATAGATAGGATACGGGATCGTTGGTGTTTCATCGCACACAGGTAACAGTCTACAACAATAACAAAATTAGACGACTGTCTCTTTCTAAATATCGATGTGCAATATTTATTGCCTGGTACTGTATGTAGCAACTAATCCGAATGCCCTAAAATACAGCCTCGCTTAAAAAAAATTTCTCGTATGGATTTGTTAAGTATCTACTAGAAAAGAAAAAAAAAAAAAACCATACGCGAACTTATTATATTATTATTATTTTTTTATTGCTTAGATGCGTGGACGAGCTCACAGCCCACCCGAGTTGAGTGGTTACTGGAACCCGTAGACATCTACAAAGTAAATGCGCCACCCACCTTGAGATATAAGTTCTAAGGTCTCAGTATAGTTACAACGGCTGCCCCCCCTTCAAGCCGAAACGCATTACTGCTTCACGGCAGAAATAGGCGGGGTGGTGGTACCTACCCGTGCGGACTCACAAGAGGTCCTACCACCAGTAAGTTATATTTATATTTTATATTATATTTATTATATATACATACATATATACATTATATATATATATACATTGCTCATTATAGCAGTTTTCGGAATAAGAACGTGTATTTTTCAGTCTAATTTCGTGCCTGACGAACTCTAGTTATAGAATTAATTTCATAACGCAAATTTTACCTTTGTACATATTAAATACTAAGAAACAGACAATGAATGGAAAGAGCTTAATTTTTGTTTCAATTTAATTATATCAAATAATGAAAATATAATATAATAAAAGGGCTTATTTTAATCATTATTACTTTTTGTGAATCAATCATATAAATTATATAGAATATAAGATGAATTAAATTGAAATTGTCTTTTAAATAATTTTCTATTATTTTCATAAATTTAGTGTTCATTGTATTATTATTTTTTATAATTGAGGGATTATTGGTAGCCCGGAGGCCTTTGCAATTTCACTTGAACAGGTAGGTGGGCGAGCAAGGGCTCAGTCAGAACGGGTGGGATTTACTAACAGCTACCAGAACGCCTCCACAGAAGTCCTAAAAACTCAAAAATAGCTGCTTCACGAATGAATCTACTACCGGATCGGAATCGCGACCCGCTGAGAAGATCCGGCGAGAAACTCAGCGGGCTGATGTTGCTGAACTCATTGCCGAGTTCGACGAGTACGCTGTGTTCATTATATTGCTATACGTCATTGTACTAAAATGAAATGAAGTATTTAATAATGGTAAAATGTTGTTCGAAACTAGAGGAAACAAGAGCTTGGTCAAACGTGAGTTTGTTCGACTGATTAATTAAAACTACTTGCCTGCTAGAACGTTTTTAAAAAAAAAATGCTTTATTGTAACGCAACGTAGAGTATAATTTCACTTGAACAGGTTGATACTTCGAAACAATTCTTTAAAAACATTCGAATGATCGACTTACATTTCAATGAAATGCTTCAAAATTATAGTGAAAATAATATTTTCTTCCTCGTAATATCCAAATCGTCTATCTAACTTTCATTAATTCGTACCATTGAACACAAAATGAACTTCCATTGATAGACTCAGTGAATGAGTCAAACGGCTAATTGCATCATTAATAATCGCTATTCGCCTTAATACTCATTAACTTCAGAATTTTCGAATAGGCTTTCAACAGAAAGTCGTTAAATTCGATATTCCTGTACTATATCTGTAATCCTAAAACGGTCAATTATTGTTCTAATCTTAGATTTTGTATTAGTAAATTAAAACAAATCAATCAAAAGAAGAACAACACAGCGTGTGGTCTTCGAGTTAGTCCAATTTCGAGCGATAATATATTAGTATGTATATTGTATATCCGTTTTTTTTTCCCTACTTAAGCTGATGGTCTTGAGAGACCATTTCAGCGTAACCGGGCGAGTAGGTGAGCTCGCGAGGCTCAAACCTGACGTTGTTGCTAACACGAACCCTAGCAAGAGCCGTGCTTCGCAGAATCTACCACCGGATCGGAAACGCGACCCGCTGAGAAGATCCGGCGAGAAACCGTGGGCTGTGTCTGTGAGTTAATTTACTCGCCGAGCGCTTCGTCGCAAGCAACGGGTTCGACGAGAACGATGACCGGGGATATATCTGTATGCACATACTTTATGTTGGCTTAAAATCGAATTGACCTTTAAACTTTCGTGAGAATTCGATCTAATTACTGTAGTACACAGGAGCACGTTCGCCTCGTCTAAGCAGCATGTAATGCGATATCTGTTCTAATAAAACAAAGTTCTCACTGTTCATCGTTAAAGTCATAATAGTCTAAAGGATAACACAATAATTGTACTCGTTTCAAACGATGTGACTATACCAGCGGTCTAATCTCACAGGCAGGACCAATGTTTTTTGAGTAAATTCGTACCTAACATTAATTCACGATTCCACACGAATAAGATCATAAAAATCAAACCCGCAAAATATAAGTTTGGCTTGTTACCGGTAGGGTGTACCTATTGTAAATACGTACGGGTAAGTGGGTACCACCGTCTTGTCTATTTCTGTCGCAGTCGTGTGCTCTGATTTTAAGAGTGTGATAGCCGTGATAAAAAGATTTTAAGTGATTAAAGGACATATTATAGACATATTATAACGTGAATTCCACCACTCTTTCTGAAACCCATTCAGAGGTTAAAGCCTTAATCATAATGTTTTTGAAGTGAAACTTCTTTATCGGCGTTGGAAAAAAATTTACCGTCACATTTTTCGGTTACGCGTCACATTTTTCCGTTACGCGCCATCTTTTTTGTATTCATGTCTATGATAATAAAATCCTTTTGTTTAAACTTTATCTAATTTAACTTTTTTGTATTCATGTCTATGATAATAAAATCCTTTTGTTTAAACTTTATCTAATTTAACTTTATTTAACCAATTTCTAGAAAGTTGCATGTAGATCATTTTTCGAAAAATAAGGCCATAAAGAAGTTTCACTTCTTACGTGTGTACACTAGTACACGCACACATTTTTTTTAATTGAAACTTCCTTATCGGCGTTGGAAAAAAATTTACCGTCACATTTTTCGGTTACGCGTCACATTTTTCCGTTACGCGCCATCTTTTTTGTATTCATGTCTATGATAATAAAATCCTTTTGTTTAAACTTTATCTAATTTAACTTTTTTGTATTCATGTCTATGATAATAAAATCCTTTTGTTTAAACTTTATCTAATTTAACTTTATTTAACCAATTTCTAGAAAGTTGCATGTAGATCATTTTTCGAAAAATAAGGCCATAAAGAAGTTTCACTTCTTACGTGTGTACACTAGTACACGCACACATTTTTTTTTTATTGCATAGGTTGGTGGACGTGCTCACAACCCACCTGGTGTTAAGTGGTTACTGGAGCCCATAGACATCTACAACGTAAAAGCGCCACCCACCTTGAGATATAAGTTCTAAAGTCTCAAGTATAGTTACAACGGCTGCCCCACCCTTCAAACCGAAACGCATTACTGTTTTACGTCAGAAATGGTCAGGGTGGTGGTACCTACCCGCGCGGACTCACAAGAGGTCCTACCACCAGTGAATATTATTTATCATGCTAATTATGACCGAAAGGTTACTCAATATTTTAGTTTTTCTAGTCTAAATTGATTAGCCGAAAATATCTGACTAAAATTTGTGCTATGAACTTAACATAGCATCAATTACCGAACAAAGAGGCGTAATAAACGATAAGTTTACGTGGATTCTCACGTCAATGGCTCCGCACTAGTCATTTTGAAGACAATGGCAGCGTACTAAAAAGCCATTACGTATGCTAAGCACTCGTGCGCGCTTGATACCGACCACCGTTCGCTGGTTCAGTGCGATAGTCAATGATTAATACGTATTTCCTTATTTTATATTACATTTCCTTGAGAATTCCTACATATTATTACCAAAACAAACATATCGAAATACAACTCAAATAGCGAACTAAACAGTGATAAGGATGAAAAATTTTTCAATCACATTTTTTTAATTTATTTATTTATTTATAACTTCTTATACTATAAAGTATAAAGGCGGACTTAATGCCATAGGCATTCTCTAACAGTCTACCTTAGGGGAGTGCAGAGATGAAGCTTGGTAGGTGTAGTGTGAAGGTGATATTACTGAAACATAATAATTTGTGTATATATAACATACATAATATTTATAGATACAAATACTCGTACTTAAATAAATACATATACATAAATATATAGATATACATAAATATACACATATACGTATCATAAATATATACATATAAAAACATATATAAACAAATATTATCAATTAGATGACTCTGCTAACTCTCTGAGAAACAGTTCTCGAACCTTCGTCTTAAACGCTTTTATGTTATTGTGAAACTACTTTTACGATTTAATATCGCGTTTTTTACCGTCACTAAATTGCTAGTCGCGAAAACTGACAGTCTTCACTGAACTAAGAACAAAAACCTTAATTAAGAGTAATGAGCAAAGTTACTGCTTATAAAATAACGAGATTATGTAAAATGTCACGATTCAAATGAAAATAACTAATCCTTTGTTTCTTATGCTTCACTAATGGAAGCGAATTGTATGAAAAACATACATTTATTAAAAGCACTCGACTCGATAGGAGGTATCGTATGTTGATGCTAAAATCAACTTTACCTGGACTCATATAATTAGATCGATAACTTACATAAAAATTATAGAATAATTATAGAATTATATACATTGCGTTACAATTACATACATAATTATAATACATTGCGATAACAAAAAAAGGGAAAATTTGAGTCTCAACTAAAGAAACGTTCATATATGTTTATTTTTATATAGATAGGGAAAGGATCTCAGACCCACCTTAACATATTATGGTCGACATCTCAAATGTATTGTTGTCTGTCTCGTAGTTAAAATTAGAACGCTTAAGACGGGTGTGGGCAGCCGTGGATTCACGCGGGATTACGCTCTATTGCTACTTACGAAGACTTCTAAGCTTTGCAATATTGATATTAAAGCTATTCTTTCAATTGGAAATTCTTAGTTTTAGGTATATATCTATTTAAAAATACCACCTCTACCATTTATGCTCCTGCATAATTGCGCCAGTCGATACGTACTTACCAAGCAACTTACAAACCCGTTCACACTAGAATACTCATAAAATAAGGATTGGGTATGTAAATATAGGCAGGAGTACAAAGTGTATATACACATGTAGATTTCCAGATCCGAATCCAAAACTTTCGTTCGACATACTTTAACTAACATACTATTAAGACGTTCAAATTGAACGCGTATTATTAATAACAGCGTATTATTCGCAATGCTATATAGCCTTATCGGGTACCTATTGTACGGGATCGCTTTGAAGACAAGAGAATACGAGATAATTCTATTGTTCTGTCCTTTCACAAGTGTCGGCGCTTAAGCGTGATGTCGTAGTCTAATGAAATATTTTGAATAGTTCAGTGAATTGATGTAAACAGAAGCCACCTTTTTAAGATTTAATTTCAATGAATTCAGCTTAATAGCCTTAGTGCAACTGTACTGTCTTAGAACCAGACTATTCCATAATCTACTTGAATTTAAAAATGAAGTTCGTACACTAATGAACAGGAATTGGTATTATCTCCGCATTTTAAATACTTAGATTATGATTTAGTATAAATAAAACAATTTTATCTACTCACTGCAAATAATTCACTTCTCGGACGGAATAGATGTGCACTAATATTTTTGAATTAAATTCAGTTTACGACCGTTCGCGAATGTATTTCAAAACAAGTCGCGTGCGCAGTCAGTCTGGTTGCTGCAATAACTACCAGATCGGCGGTCTTGCCGTTCTCCTGCTGGAAGGTATACCAACGTCACGCTCATAGACCGGTTCAACAAATCGGCATCAGTCACACTATCGTGAGCAAGTATTACAACAGTGCGAAGCATTTAATTTCATAAGAACCAACAACAACTCTATACTAATATTATAAAGCTGAAGAGTTTGTTTGTTTGAACGCGCTAATCTCAGGAACTACTTGTCCGATTAAAAAAACTCTTTCAGTGTTAAATAGCCCATTTATTGACGAAGGCTATAGGCTATATAACATTACGGTAAGACGCATACAAGTGGAGCACCAATAAAGAATGTTTCAAAATATTTTCACTTTCTACGTAAATGAAGGGGGGGGGGGGTTAAAATTTAGCGTTACGCCAAAGTAACTATTCCACGCGGACGGAGTCGCGGGCAAAAGCTAGTTAAGTCATATCGCTTCGTTTATTTTGTTATAATTTCTATCTGTAACACATAAAAGATACGCAGTACACAACCTACTCTAATTTTTAATATAGAATCAATATAGAGTCCACAATTTCTTATTTTTATTTTGCTTGCCCGTGGCATTAAATTATCTCCCGGGTACCCAAGTGTTCATATATTTCCAATAGACAAATTAATTGCCGTATTAAATCAAATCGTATGCCCTTATTTCGTATTTTATTGTCGTTGTTTGTTATTTAAGAACGTAAAGACTGCGAATCGGTATGCATTACGCTACGGTGTAAAAAAACGTTAATGGAATATTTTTGTAGTGATTTTGCGTAAACAACATTAAAAGAATTACATACATTTATATTGGGTTTTTCTCGTGTTTTTAAATAAATCACCTTTCGTAAAGATCCGCTTTTGCGAATGCACACGTAAAAAACAGAAAGGTTTAAAATTTGCGAGCGAGTTTTAAAGTCATTTTTCCTTTATCATAATAATTATTGAATTTTGTTTTGTTTTATTGGTGGATACTTCTAATTAACGAAGATACGACTTTTAGGGTAATGCTGATATGTATTCAACGGACATAGATCTAGATTTTTCACACACCACAACGCTACAATGTCTCAATAGTGCGGAATATAATAGTCATCATATTCCTGCAATAACAAATATTAAAATTAGTATATGAGATAAGATGCCCCACTCTCATTAGGTCCTAATCTCAATCCGGGCTCATAACAATTAAACCTAGGGAGAAATTCGTGAATATTTAATAAAACTCTCAAAATTGGATTCCGTTACGAAATTATACCATTTAATATCAATCCTCGTTTCTCATTACATTTTAAATTCGAAACGTATAAAACCACTTAAAACCGAGTTACATTAGATTTTTGCCTATTTTGGGGGTTCCGTACTCGTTAAAACAACTAGTATTGGTATATTCATGATCATTAAAATTATCCATATATTTCTCACAACCTGTTTTATCCGATTCTATCGGAGTATATAATTGAAATTAAAGGCATACAGGAACAAATAAGGTAGGAAAGGCTCTAGGCGAATACCAGAGATCATAGTAGCGGTATAAATGGCCAAGATATAAGTACTTATGTATCTGAACTTTCTTAAAGGAAAAGAGAAAAGTCAGATGTTCATAGAATTCTATACTGCCATGATGAATTAATAACATAATAGATCGAGGAGGTTGAAGTTGATTAAGATTTGTTGTTTACTTATATTATTTATACTAAGTATTATACTATACTATTTATTTTAATAAGACTTTCCACTATATGCCTTCGTAGGGTGCTGGAATTCTTCGGACATATTGCTCGTAAAGAGGGTCACAATTCAGAACAGCTGATGGTCACAGGAAAGGCAGATGGCAACCGTCCCAGAGGACGCAGTCCCAGGAGATGGTCGGACCAAATACGATCTTCTCTAAACATCAACTTCCGCAATGCCCTTCATGAAGCTAAGGATCGCAGCAGATGGAGGGAAATCGTACGTATCGATTGTAACAATATTGAGACCTTATAACTTATATCTCAAGGTGGGTGGCGCATTTACGTTGTAGATGTCTATGGGCTCCAGTAACCACATAACAACCAGGTGGGCTGTGAGCTCGTCCACCCAACTAAGCAATAAAAAAAAAACGGTTCAAAAAGTTTCACAGATAACGGAAAAGTACAGATCTCTCTGAGCGAGTTCAGATTTTACTTGGCCGATATTTTATGGCATCCGTGAAATAGCCGTGGAAATTATGTTACGATTTCACCCTTCCAAACTTTTCATTTATCTTTGAGCCAGCGGAGAATCAAGGTAAAAACTTATTAAATTTACAGAAATCCTGTTGATTTTTTTTGTGCTATTTAAGTGACTTTGAATATTTCATTAGAGCCACGTGTTTATGCTCTTAGTGCTGTAATAAATTATTCATGACGCAAATTAGCTTAGTTCAAAGTTCAATATAATATTGTGACCAACACAGAACTCGCAATTAGGCCTTATACTCGCCTATTCATCTCATGTACGTATGTATATTTTATGAATGTTAATTTATTAAGTAAGCGCTGTTTTAAAAAAAAAAATATTTATAGTTAAGCTACTCAATTTTATTATTACTTTTAGCACTTGGGATTTATTTTTAATATAACAACATATTACGGCAGGCAGGTACCAACCAGTTTAAACGATTTTAACGATAAAACAAAGACATAAAAATAATTTCGTGCTATAAACTAAAACCCGACAATTTTGCGTAATTGTGATAGATGATATTAAAGCCTATTTTTTTAACCTACCTAAGTTAGAGACCATATCAGTGTTACCGGGCGAGTAGGTGAACTCTCAGAGCTCAAACCTGACGTTGTTGCAAACACCACCCTCTGAGAAGATCCGGCGAGAAGCTCAGTGGGCTGTATGTGTGGATTAATTTACTCGTCGAGCCCTTCCTCGCAAGCGACGGTTTCGACGAGAACGATGACCGGTGCTTGGGGTACCTAAAAGCACCGTTAGTGGATCGGGAGGGTCCAAAATGACGTGTTTTGGGCGACGTCGACTGCTCACCATTTGGTCCGCAGGATCGGGAATGTAATTACCGGCGGCCACGATGGGAGGGTTCTCGTGTCGTGCCGTTTTATCGAAATGGCGCATTGATGCCAACTGTAAATACTTACTGATGGACTCTAGGTCTAGGTCGTCGAGGAGGTCGATGTTCCTGACGAACCACGGGGCTCCGACGGCTATCCTGCAAAAACGGGATTGAATGATTTGATGGGGTTTCAAATTGGTGCGGGCCGCATGAGTGAACACTGCACTTACATAGACATGTCGGGGCGTATGCAACCTTTGTAGAAGGTCACCTTATTTCTAAGGGACAATTTACTTCGCTGCAAATCGCTGCAAATCATCGGATAGAGGCGTCTTAGTATGAATGCGGTACGGTCGCGTACCGTCTTTATGTGGGGGCGGAATGTCATCCCTCTGCCGAGAGTGACGCCTAAGTATTTGACATTCGGGATCCACGGTATGGGTTTGTCGTATATGGTGATGGTGGGTGGGTGGGTGATAGTCGAATGGTGGAGGTGCTTACGCGCCTATTCGGGAGTGGGATGCTCGATGTGGTATTCGGAGGGCGACCCCTTTTGAAGACCACCACTGTGCCTTTCGTGGGGTTGATGTCGATGAACCCTGTGAATAAGTAGATACCTCCATCTAGCCTATATCTTTACGAAGTACTTTAGTGACCTGTAACAATTTTAACCCTAAAATAGATTACGTACGTTACGTTAAACAAATTAATAGAAACTTCAAACTAAAACTGGTGGTAAAATTCAATATCTGATAGCTCTACCACTCATACTAGATGAACCGTGAATACCTCCATACGGAATGAAAGGCCTTGTATGTGAATCGAATAATTAATAAAATATTCTCTCTCTTTCAGATAACAGCATTTCTCAGCAAAATTATATTATCTACATAGACAATTCAATATAGGGTTTTTCAATGGGGACGCTCGAACTTTGACACCTCATAGCGGGCATCTTGGTAAAGCGATAGCGGTCAAATTTAGCATGAACACCGCTAAAAATTATGGCAATATCACTTAAACAAGTTTTATATTTTATTTTTAAGTTCGAGCACTCTTAATTCAGAACTCTTTATATTCAACGGTTAATCAAACGGTACAATTTTATGAATAGGCGAGTGTATCGTTGTCATTTGTTTCTTTATCTTTGATTTAAATTTTTAAAAACACTTTAAGAAAAACTTAAGAATTTTCCAGAACATATTCTAAGTATTTGAAACAAAATATTAGCATTAAAACGACAATATATACAAAAAAATGAAATCGCAATGACGCACGTTCTGTAGGGTTCTTATCGTTTCAATCTCAATAGCTGTTTAAATAATTGTCATGTTTGACTAAAATACGGTAAAAAGCAATACGACAAATAACAAAAAAATATCGTTGGTTAAACAGAGTAGAATATACCAGTAACGATTATTTAATAAAACCTGTGTGGATCGTTCGAAAACTCCATACTTGTTTGGATATCGAAATTTTGCTTTCATTTCTTTTTAAAATAAGCTGGGACAGCGCAAGACGATTAATACGATGAATGTCGTTCAAAAAGTGTTCCTGTTGATGAGTTAAACTTGCAATGAAATAATCTTGTACTAAAATTTAATATCAAAGGTGACTGTTATTTACATGTTGAATAAGTGATACACAGAAAAAGCTCGATCTACAGGGAAAATATACTCAGATATTTTTTTGTTTTTGTATTGCTCATTCTTTTGTCGTGGAAGTCTTTCGTGAGCTTGTGTTGCTAAGTTTTTTTTTTATTACTTAGATGGGTGGACACCCCACAGCCCACCTGGTGTTAAGTGGTTACTGGAGCCCTCTACGGAGGAGAGACATCTACGACGTAAATGTGGCACTCACCTTGAGATATAAGTTCTAAGGTCTCAAGTATTGAAGTATAGTTACAACGGTTGCCCCACCCTTCAAACCGAAACGCACTACGGTAGAAATAGGCAGGGTGGTGGTATCTCC